AAAATACATCCCAGAAAACACAAACATCGGTTAAGGAGTGGTCACTACCTCATAGAAAAACAGATGGATGTATGGTTAAGCCATTTCCATCAACACGCGAAGAAGAAACAACGCAACTCCGAAGAAGAAAAACAGAAAAACGTGAAGATGAGGAAGACAACCACGATTTGAGGAGGAGGCGGAGGGATGAGGAAGAATCCACAACGCGCGGGAGAACGTGAAGATGAAGAAGAATGCCATGATTTGAAATCTGTAGTGCGCGCTCTTGATTTAAGGAGTTATTTACGTCGGACGAAGATGGGTCCGACGTAAATGAGATAATTTACGTCGGCTGCTTTAGCTGTCCGACGTAAATTATCTCATTTACGTCGGACCCATCTTCGTCCGACGTAAATTTCCTCCTCTTATTTACGGAACTGCCACCGCGTTTTTACAACGTCGGGTGTGCTAGTTTCCGACGTAAATGAAGAGACGTAGTAGCTCCTTTTTCCACTAGTGAAAGATATAAAACCAACACACTTACGGATATAAAACCGATAAAGAGATTATTAACAATAGGTGGAATGAGAACAACACACTTGTTGATAAATTTCTCCCTTAATAACCCATTTCCTTCCACAGGTTAAGATATAAAGCCATAAAGTTCTTCAAGAAATGTAACAGTCCACAAAACCATTAAAGGCATCCTAAATATCTAATTATATAGTCTTTAATCATTGAAGAATGCATATATAATAATAAAATTAATAGTGACAACACATAAAAGTATGATTACCTGGTGTTCAATTATAAAACTACAATATGGAGCATATCTATGAGCCTATGTAGCTTCTGCAAACAATATGCTCCTACGATTGGAAATGCTACAACATGTGGTATAATTATAAATTTAAACATTGTTCATAATCCCAGGCCCCTCTGAAACCTTTGAAAGGAACAAAAGCTGCAAAACAAAAATATAGAAAAAAATAAGAATACAAGAAGACAAAACACGACAAATCAGATCAAAAGAAAGCACAATTGAAGATCAACAAAATAAAAAAAAATGACAATAAAGTGGAATTTACGAGAATTAGAAAAGGATTTTGCCCGTAGGTTGCTGCGAGCCTCATCCAGAGAGTTGACAAAAAAAATGAGAGAAAAAGGAACCTACACATGCTTAAACTTGGCAAACTAGAAATGATAATCACTCTTCATATTCAAATAAAAAATTCAAGAACATCGCAAGCAAGGATCAAAGTGAGACTTTTCTGAAAGTTGCTTGAAAGAAATATAGAAGGAAGCAAGAGAAACATTTTAATGGGTTTATTTTGAAGAAAGGTGGCCTATAATGGTAGGAATAAGTGTTGGCACCGTTAGTATTTCTGGTCTATAGAAAGATGGAGTACACTCTACCTCACAAGGAGAACCACCTAGGATGTTATATTAGATCTAATAGAGTATTAGGTAGCATTGCTTTATTTGTATGTTTTGTATTCTGTTGTAAGTTGAGTGGCTTTGTCACGTGAGCATATTAGTTACGAGTGTGGCTTCCTTTTTAAGCTTTTTATGTCTATATAATTCACTCTCTGTCATTTTTAGAGTGTGATAGAAAATAATAATAGAACAGAATTCATTTTACTTTTCTCTCTCCTTGAAACTTTCACATGGTATCAGAGCTATCCTAGATTTTTAAAAATGGGTCACCCACCTTTGATACATGCGCCATAGGCATGAGGGGGTGTATTAAGAAAAAAAAACTCAAGTCCCACCAATACTAGATCATTAAAAAGGGTCACCCACCATTTATTCACGTACCAAGCTCAATAGTGCTAGACATGAGGGAGTGTATTGGGAATAACCCAAGTCCCACATCAACTAGAGATTAGGTAATTGAATAGTATATAAGTTGAAAGCAACCCTCCCCTTACAAGCCGGTTTTGTAGGGTTGAGTTAGGCTTAAATCCACTATTCTAAGATTAAGTGGAAAACAACCCTTACCTTACAAGCCGGTTTTGTAGGGTTGAGTTAGGCTTAAATCCACTATTCTAAGATGGTATCTAGAGCTTCCTGAAGTCTCACATAGCTTTCGATCCAAAACCTAACTCTTCTGCATCTCTTTCGTCGCACTTTTCTTCTTTTTCGTTTCCGATTACAGAGAAATTATCAGATGACAATTATCTTGTTTGGCTTCAACAAATTGAACTTGTTCTTCGCGCGCATAGATTACATAGTTTTTGCGCATCACCAGAAATTCCGAGTCGTTATCTTACTAAAGAGGATCGTCTTGCTGATAATGAGAATCCTGCATTCGTAGCCTGGGAGTTGCAAGATTAACTTCTTCTTGCATGGCTTCAATCTTCGCTTTCATCGTCGATTCTACCGAAAGTTATTGGATGTCGATATTCATGGAAACTTTGGAAGAAAGTTCATCATTACTTTCATTCAAAGACTAAAGCTCAAGCTCGACATTTACGTTCTGAGCTTTGAAACATCAAAAAAGGTGATCAATCAGTTACTTCACCTCAGGTAAATGTAACCGGTAATGCACCTCAATTTGCAAGTGATGGTTCTCAACACTCTCATGGATTTCAAGCAAGTCGAGGTGGTAGATTTCGTCATAGAGGTGGTAGAGGTGGACTTTCAGGTAGAGGAAATATTCAGTGTCAAGTTTGCTACAAGTTTGGTCATGACTTCCTACTGTTATCACAGATTTAATCTGGCTTATGCACCTAGTTATCCTAATTTTATGCCTCAACAATCAACCTTCATGCCTCAACAAATGAATTATACCTATCAGCCTTATCCTGTTGGCTTTATGAAGAATCATGTTCAATATGTTCGACCACAACAGATTGTTACTTCTTCTACTCCTGCCTCATCACCTCAAGCATTTGTTACTAATGTAATTCCTCCACAACAGTCACAAAACTGGCTTGTCGATTCAGGAGCTTTTCATCATGTTACCGCTGATCCAAATAATCTTGCTACAAAGGTCCCATTGACTGCTCCTGAACATGTGTTTTTAGGAAATGGTAAAGGTTTGCCCATAAAATCTGTTGGTTCGGTGTCTTTTACTTCTCCTAAAAATCCAAACACTATTTTACATCTTCACAATATGTTACATGTTCTGTCTATCACTTAGAACTTAGTGAGTGTTAGCAAATTTGCTCGTGATAATCAAGTTTATTTTGAATTTCATTCAACTCATTATCTTGTTAAATCTCAGGTTGATCACTCTGTTCTGCTTGAAGGTCATCTCATTGTTGATGGCCTCTATTCCTTCCCTCATTTGTCTTTTAGCTGTTGTCAACCACAACATCTACCATCATCAATCAAGCCTTCAAGTTCTACTTCTTTATCTACTACATGTACTTCTAGAGTTTGCTCAGACACTGTACAATCACCCACTCCCACTACATTGTCCTTATGGCACAATAGGCTTGGTCATCCTTGTTTTTCTGTTTTACAAAATGTACTAAAATTTTGTAAAAGCCCTGTCTCTAATAAAAATGAGGTTCAATCTTGTGTAGCTTGTTGTATGGGCAAATCTCATAGGCTTTCTTCTTCTTCATCTACTATTGTTTATTCCACTCCTTTGGAATTGTTGTTTTGTGATCTATGGGGACCAACACCTATGCTTTCGTCTATGGGATATCATTACTATATGTCTTTTGTGGATGTTTACAGTCGTTTTACATGGATTTATTTTCTTAAAAATAAATCTGAGGCTCTTACTATATTCAGACAATTTCAAGCCATGGCTGAACTTCAATTTAATCATAAAATCAAATATGTTCAATCTGATTGGGGTGGTGAATTTCGACCATTTACTCAGTTTTTAACCAGTTTGGGTATAACTCATAGATTAATCTGTCCTCACACACATCATCAAAATGGTGTTGTTGAAAGAAAGCATAGGCATATTGTTGAAATGGGATTAACTCTTCTTTCTCAAGCATCCTTGCCTATGAAATATCGGGATCATGCTTTTCACATTGCTATATATCTTATCAACATCTCATACCATCTACTACATCTGGTTCAAACAGTTCTACTAATTTTCCACTTGGGGTTTTGTCCTCTAATGATGATGCCTCTACTTCTACTTTAAATTCATCGTCTAGTTCGTCACCACTCTCTGCTCATACTTTACCGCCATCAACCTCCAATGTTCATCCTATGCAAACTAGATCCAAGTCTGGAATTGTTAGACCTAAATTGCATCCCACACTTTTACTTACTACTGCTGAACCTACATCTCTTAAACAAGCTCTATCATCACCATCATGGCTATGTCTCTTGAATATGATGCTCTAATAAAAAACCAAACATGGACACTTGTTCCCTTACCTTCTAACCGTACTGTTGTTGGCTGCAAATGGGTTTATCGTATAAAGGAAAATCAGGATGGAACTATCAATAAGTATAAAGCTCGCCTTGTAGCTAAAGGATTTCATCAAAAGTTTGGTTGTGACTATAGTGAAACTTTTTCGCCTGTCATTAAACCAGTTACTATTCAAGTTATCCTAACTCTTACTGTCACATATCATTGGCCTATTAAACAAGTTGATATCAACAATGTTTTCCTTAATGGATTTTTGGAAGAAGATGTTTATATAATGCAACCCCCGGGGTTGGAGGTTTCAGATAAAACTCTTGTATGTAAGTTAAATAAAGCCATTTATGGCTTAAAGCAGGCTCCTCACGCTTAGTATGATAGGCTGACTAAAACGTTACTTGGTTTTGGCTTTGTTCAAAGTCGTTGTGATCCCTCCTTACTTATTTACAAGCAGTCTTAAGTGTGCATTTATATGTTGATCTACGTTGATGATATAATTGTCACTGGAAATTCTCATTCTGTAGTGCAGTCTTTTATCTCAAAGCTGAATGGTGTTTTTGCTTTTAAACAACTCGGTGACTTGGATTATTTTCTGGGTATTGAAGTCAAACGCACAAATTCAGGTTCTGTTATTCTTAATCAAGCTAAGTACATTAGAGATCTTCTGCAGTGAACTGATATGTATAATGCCACGGGCATCTCTACTCCTCAACAAGCCAAACTTAAGCTTTCAAAGTATGGGTCTGATTATTTTGATGATCCTGTAGCTTACATATCCATAGTTGGTGCTCTTCAATATGTTACTATTACTCGGCCAGAAATAGGATATGTTGTTAATAAAGTGTGTCAATTTATGGCACAACCACTTACTTCTTATTGGAGTGCTGTAAAACGTATTCTGCGATATCTTCGTGGAACTGTTGATTTTGGCTTGCATTTTCAATCTGCTTCTACTACTGCTCCTCTATCTTTGCAAGGTTTTTCAGATTCTGATTGGGTATTTGACGTGGATGATAGACGCTCTACATTTGGGGCTTGTATATTTTTTGGTCCCAACCTTATTTCATGGTGGTCTAAGAAGCAGACTCTTGTAGCTCACTCCACTGCTGAAGCTAAGTATCGCAGTTTAGCGTTGGCTACTTCTGAAATTTTATGGATTCAATCTTTGCTTAATGAATTACAAGTTCAGATTCCAACTCCAGTTCTTTATTGTGATAATCAGAGTACTATATCTCTAAGCCATAATCCAATTCTTCATTCCAGAACTAAGCATATGGAACTTGATATTTTCTTTGTTAGAGAAAAGGTTCTCAACAAATCTTTAATTGTCTTCTATGTGCCAACTCAAGCTCAAGTTGCTGATATACTAACCAAGCATGTCTCTAAAGTTCAATTATGCAGTTTTAGAGACAAACTCAAGGTTCTAGGTTCATCCCAACCTAAGTTTGTGGGAGAGTAATAGAGTATTAGGTAGCATTGCTTTATTTGTATGTTTTGTATTCTGTTGTAAGCTGAGTAGCTTTGTCACGTGAGCATATTAGTTACGAGTGTGACTTCCTTTGTAAGCTTTATATGTCTATATAATTCACTCTGTCATGTTTAGAGTATGATAGAAAATAATAATAGAACAAAAGTCATTTTACTTTTCTCTCTCTGAAACTTTCACAAGATCCAATTATCCAACTTAACCAATTTATCTACAATTAAAGAAAGCCCCAACGAATTTATTAGTTTAATGGAAATTCAATAGGATGAATGGTTGGGATTGAATTAGTGGCTCTAACTTAATAACAACAAATAGATCTCATTAAATGATTAAAAAAAATCAATAACTAATTATGTAAAGGGGATATTACCAAATTTTAAGAGAAAACTAGGAGATTACACTGTTAGAAAAAAAATTAAAAATAGTAGAGATTACATTGAAATAAATATATAAATTAGGAAAATCTTATTTAGAAATTGATATATTTAATATACTGATTTAAAAACATAAATAAAATTTACATAATATATAATACATGATATTACTTCGATCATAATTGATTTTAATTATGTAAAGAGGACATTACGAACTTTTAAGATAAAGTTAGGAAGTTTATATTTAAAAGTTGACGACATATTTAACAAGGAGATTTAAATATCAAGATTTAGCTTTAATTATAAGAAAAAAATTTATTAAAAATTTAGTTTAAAAATAGAAATACATTTTATTAAAATATTGCTTCAATCATAATTTTTTTTTTGATTATGTATAGAGGATCTTATGAATTTTTAAGAGAGAATTAGGGAGATTATAATTATTAAATGTTGAGACATTTAACTTAGCAATTTTTAAAAAAAATTTAGCCTTGATTTTAGACTAAATTTTAGTAATAATTTAGTTTAAAAACGGAAACAAATATCCAAAATATATTACATCAATCATAATTTATCGATTTTTATTATGTATAGAGATATTACGAATTTTAAAGATAAAATTAATGAGATTATATTTAAAAGTTTACATATTTAACATAACAATTATATATAAAATAACAATTTAGCATTGATTTATGGAAAACTTAGTTTTAAAACAGAAATAAATTGCTTGAATATATTACTGCAATCATAATTTTTTTATTCTATAACTACATTTAAAAGGCGACATATTTAACATAGAAATTTAAAAATCAAAATTTATTCTTAATTTTTATTTACTTATTTATATTTATACTTATATCTATATCTATAAAGGAAATAGGTTTTGATAACCACACCCTTTTGGTTTTTATTTTTGTACTAGATACTATTATTCTTAGATTTAACAATTTTTTTTCTTTCAATTTTTTTTTCACAAATAAATAGTAATATATAAAAAGGATATTTGTCTCTAATTTTCACATTTTTTTTTACATATTTGTACCATTTTATTATATATCAACCTTTTTCTTATCATTAGGGATGGCAACGGGGCGGGGCGGGTACGGGTTTCATGATACCCGTCCCCGTCCCCGCAAGTAAAACTCATCCCCATCCCCGTCCCCATACCCGTCAAGTATGGATTTTCATCCCCATCCCCATCCCCGTCGGGTATCGGGTATACCCGTACCCGTACCCGTACCCGTCAATTTTTTTATTTTTTATTTTTTGTAAAAAAAATGATATTTTTAAATTATTTTTTTCATTATATTATAATTATAATTAGGTTATTTCTTTATCTCATATTATAATAAATAATCACACATAAAAAATATTAAATTTTTTAATATAATTAAATTGAAAGTGAATATTAAATTAAAAATGAGAACGGGTACGGGTACGGGGCGGGTAAGTACATACCCGTACCCGTACCCGTACCCGATTCAATATATCGGGTTTTACCCGTACCCGTACCCGTACCCGGTCAAACCGGGTATTCCCCGTCAAAGTCGGGACGGGTTCGGGTATTACCTACGGGTACGGGTATATTTGCCATCCCTACTTATCATCATGATTATCCATTTATTTTATAAGTTATAAGTATCTTTGGTCTTTATTTTTATCTAAAATTATTTTACTCTTTTTTAATTAACATTATATAATTTGATTTACTGTATTATTATTATTATTATTATTAAACAAAATTTGTAGATTAAAAAACAAACTCACATTGTTTTAAAATATGAATATATATATTCCTTATTAATGAGATGAAAACCTTTGTTGGTATTGATTATTTTCCAACAATTAGTATGACGTTTCCATTGTTAAATTTCTTATATTTTATGTATCCACAAAACATTTATGTTTTTGAATTCATATTAATTAAATTGTTTATTTTTCAGTATATAAATCATGTTGGATGTAAATATATGTAAGGCGTGTTAGAGCTTAATTTTTTGTGTAAGTCATATATATCAGTTATTTGCAAAAGTTAAAACAAGCGTAATACTCCCTCTGTTTCTAGTTTTCTTAGTTAATTTTATTGAATTTGTAAAATAAAATTATGATTTTTTAATTTTATTTTTTTATTTATTATTTAATTTTTATGAGAGATAATAATATATTACTCATATCAAAATTTATGCAATAATATAAAAAAATGATTAATCTTAATTGGATAGACTTTAAGAAGTGAGAGAAAAAAATACACATTTTTAGAATCTTTAATAGAGAAAATAAAATAAATATTTTCTAAAAATTATAAAATATTTTATTAAAAAATAAGAATTTCTTCTAAAATATACATCAGAATGACTAAATTAAAATTTGAAAATAAATAAAGAGACTAAAAATATAATTTAATAATAAAAATTAAGAATTTTTTATAAACTATATATTATAATAAGGAGAAGAGGGAATATAATCTAATATTTTTTAAGGAAAAGCTAATATGTTTATTAAGAGAATATAATAAATTAAATAACAACCAATCACGTCGTGGTACAATCTGTGGGTTTAAAGGAGAGTGTGCTCTCTTGAAGATCATATCCAACTAAGAGGTTTTGCTGAGCCAAGTTTCCAAAAATGGCTCCAATATCGTCACTTGGATGGAAAGCAAAACATATTATCCCATCGGCCACTTCAACAAAGGTGTTGATAGCATTCAGCTTCACATCGGCACCACTGAAATGTGCAGTGATTGTTGGCACATCTACTTCACCAGATGAAGTAGTTTTGTAGCACAGGCTTAGTAGATTGCTTGGATCTTTAACACGCTCTAATGCAATCTCATCTGCTACTGCTGATTCCAAATTTGAGTAAACATCACTTGGCAAAAGAGTGAGTGTTGTACCTGAGTCGATTATGATATTACCCTCTTCACTAGACTCATCAGAAATAGGGCTTCCAAACTCAACTCTCTTTTTTCCCACACTGAATGATTCCAATGTGAGGTAGTAAAATATTTCTTGGTCGTGTCCTATAATTGGGGTTGAGACAGTTCCATCCCCAGAAACCACAGCATTATCTCCAAAGTTGAGTTGGCTAGATGAGTTAGAGTTGGTAAACATTGGTGCCAAACAATAAGAAAACTTTCCATCAATTGAAGAACTCAATTGAGTTATAAGTGACACAGGTCCTCCTCCAAGGCCAACTATGCCAGAGCTTCTCCCTTGAAAGGACACAGTATTACTATGTCCACATCCAATCACAGTTTTGGGAAATGTAACACGAGATCCATTGGTGGAGGCTAGAGTGAGGGTATCCACACTAAGATCCCCATGTGAGTGTGACCCATCCCCATAGTTAATACTATATTCACAAGTTCTGCCCTTGCAAGAGGTGCTTCGTGCTGACTCACACGTGTCAGAAGAGCAAGGGAGGGTTTTGTAGGTTGTGGATTTTGAAGGATCAAACATAGGAGTGGTTTGGTTGTAACATGGGTCACAAGGCTTGCATTGCAACCAAACAATGTCACTACCCGTGTCCACAATGCCATAAACCTTGAACGGTGGGGTTCCGACCGAATAGCTTACCAGGTATTCACCTTGGTCAGGTGTTACCGTGGCCTTGGGTGTGTCAACGTTGAAACGATTGGCACGGTTGATGGAACGACGCACCGCATTGGTAACTCGTTGGAATTGAGTTTCCGTGGGACGATAGAGTGGTGATCTTGATGAGTCACGGTGGATCATTTCCACGCTGAAGCCACCTTTGAGAGCCTCCAAGAAAGAGAAGTTGCAAAAACACAAGAAAACAAGAGCAAGAGATGAAGAACGTGACACCATTGTTGCGATTGCTAGGACGAGCACTAGTGAGTAAACCTATGCTCTTCGTGGCCTTTTATATGATTCTAATGAATGTGGAATTGTATGAGGAAAGATTTTGTAGTAATTGAGGCATGCTGATATTTAGTGATTATTCATTATGTTCTTATCATGTATGATCACGATGTGATATATATGAAATCAGTGATTTTTCATTCTTCCCTCGTCATCATTTATATAGATATAAATTGTTGGGAATAGTTGTAATGCGTGAAAGGAATTATATAGATATTTCTCAATACAGTTAATTAGAAATTAATTTTTCAATTATGTAATTCCTTAAGCATATAGTATAAATAAATAAATTATTCCATGGGCGAAATCAATTACTATTTTAATGCATGACATGTTCCTTAAAATTAAGAATACGAATAGAATATACTATTTTATTTCATCCATTTTTGTCTGATTTCACTCTGATACTCAACAAACCAAATTAAAACTACCCTCATTTTAGTAATTTTTTTTTTCATAATGGAGATATGAAGTGAGTTACGAACTTTTCATATTGATAATTTACCTTTTAGTTTACAAAATGAATAAATAAAATATAGAATACTCTTAAGAAAGTGTTTGGAACCTAGTACCAGTGACTGCCGTGAGCATAGACTAGTGGGGCGATAGTTCGGGACTCTATTGTTGAAGGGACAGTGTACTGGTAAGACCATTCGGCCACCAGGTAGCCGATATCCAATTGGCACCCGAACGGCCGAACCAGGTAGCCGACGGTTGATCGGCCACTGGATGATCCATAAGCTTAGATCCCTCCTAATCAAGAATTAAGGATTACCCCTAATCAAGAGTTAATAGCTAATCATACCAATAAGTCGATTATAGGCGTATTACCTAATATGGTAATCCTATTGTAGGGCCCATGGGAGTCCGGGCCCATCAATGTCAGTATAAATAGCGCATGTCACGAGGTAACGTCACTGTTCATTAATTACTATTGATATTTGTGTTTGTCTTGACTTGAGCGTCGGAGTGCCTTTTGCAGGTGCCCTCTCTCTCACCAGAATATTCGATCGGAGCTCTCATTCGGCCCTCAGAATACGAGAAGATTACTAGTGTGCCCTTCAGACAGGTACAGACACCATAAAATAAAATATTATTTAGTCTAATTATATAAAAATAATAATTTACATAATTTAATTATATTGAAAATAAAAAAGTGTGATAATTAATCAATAATTGATTTTTCTACTAGTCAACAAAAAATTATCCATAATTTTGGGAAAATAATTAAATTATAGTAATATTAAATGTAAAGAGAAAATTGTAATATATTATTGATTTATTTCCTTTTCATTTTTTTCTCGGTGTGAACCTCTATAAATATTAACATAAAATCATTAATAAGTGTTATCTTTAACTTTCTCATTTTCCCTTTATTTTTAATTTTTTAATTCTCTTTCTAATTTTTAAATCATAACTTATCTTACTCTGTTTTAAAATTAAATGGTGAACCTTCACCTCTTTGTTGAGGCCTTCTTTATGATGTGTCACTACTTTTTATCCATTTTTTTCATTACATAGTGATCTCTAAGATAATTCAATCTCGTATGAATGTATGTTTATTCTTTTTTTTTTATAGCAACTATGTGTTTATTTATCTACACTTTTAAGATTGAAAATTAGAGTCATAAGTAATCTTCAAATTATTATGAGGGCAATAGTTTTCATTTCATTTAACGCACCAAAAAATTTAAGGCCAGGCCTAAAGGTGTCATATATGTCGAGTCGGCTTAACTCAACTTGACATATATGATTCAATTGTAATTTTAAGCTAGCTTGACCCAACTTATATTTTTTTTTTCAGGTTGCCATTTTTGGTCAAACCTGGCTCATGTTGGGCTATTGGGTAATTGAGCCAAATTTTCCTAATTAAAAAAATATATCTATAAAAAATAATATATATTTTTAAAATGAAAAAAAAAATAACATGATTAATTGATAGTATATACTATCATAAACACCTAATAGCTTTATATGTATACAATTTCTTACAACCATTGCAATTGCATTTATCCACCCCATCAACTAGACCAACCTTTTCATAATAATTCTATATTTTAGAGGCATTAGATTTAGTTTTCTTAGTTTTTTCAGTATATCCTAGCTAGTCTTCGTCATTAATACCCCTATTTTTACTTTTTTCATAACTCTACGATCATAGACACACGTTTGATTGTATCTTCATCTTCTTCACCAAGTGCAACAAAGATGACGGGTCATAGGATCAAATCATTAAGGTGCAATGGAAGTAGCAAAATCTTATAACGACAAACCCTAACTCTAATCTTATAATCACAACTTTGTAAGTGAAATAAAAAAAGTGAAATTCTCTTACTCTTATTATATTTTATCTTATTCTATTATTTTATAATACAATACAAATTTATAGATTAACGGTAACTTAGATTATTCCATTTATTATATTAACGAGCCATCTCGACTTAGATTATTCAACTTATTATATTAATGAGCCAGCTCGACTTGGGCTCATTTGACCTATCAAGTTTAGAATGATGGTCCATCAGGCTGGGCCCAAAATTGACAACTCTAGTTGACTTTGCCTAACTAAACCTTATAAAATTAATTAGTAAGGTAAGAGTTATCTCTCACTTATATACACTTTGTTGGTCTTATCAATAGTCAATATGGGATCTTTAACACACCCTCACCTAGAACTAAACATCTTGAGCGTGAAGTTTGTAGGACTGAACATTTGCGGGTGGTTCGATAACAACCCAATAATGTATGACTTGATAAATCTACTAACAATTGCTAGGATAGGATCTCATACCATCGTAGAAAGTGGATTTGGGCTTAACTCAATCCTACATAACCAACTTGTTAGGTGAAGGTTGCCTCCACTTTTACACTCTTTAACCTTTATCTTTCTATTCAAAAACCTTAATCTCTCAAATGGCTCCTAAGATGCAAGCAACCTGAATTGTGAAGGTTCCCATGGAAGAGTGATGAGTCAATATTTTCCTCTATTTTCTTACCTTTCTGTACTTATTTTAATATTTGATTTGTGCCTAATTGCTTATATTCTGCATTGTTTTCTATTTGGGCTGTAATTGGATCGGTAATTCATATTTTAGCTAATTTGAATTTTCTGCATCTAATTATTCCAAATTTCATTTTCAGGGCAATTTAATAATTATTTGGGCTTGGAATTAATTTCTGGACTTCAAGTGGAGCTGCCACGTCATCTGCCATGTCATCTTCCATGTCACTGCTGCACCATTTTCCACCTCAGCATTCATTTTTAGTTTTTAGGCTATTTTATTGTTATTGGGTCAGACATGTAATTGTTTTGGGGTCCAATCTCATTTTAGGTCATTTTAGGTTTAGGCTAGGGCTGACTTGGCAGCCACTAGAGGAGGGGGGTTGATGTGACTACGTGAACAGTAGCCTCCTTCATCATTCCAGACGTTTTTGGCTTCTCTCTTTGTTCTTCTGTTTTACGTTTTCTCTCATGTAGCTATAGTTTGGACGTTTTGGGTTTTCCTTGTTGCTTTCTTTTACGTTTTATTCTCTTTGAGCTGCCATTGTATTTTCGTTTTACTCTTCTCCTCTGTGGTTGTGGAACTTGAACATTTATATTTGAAGAATACACATTTTCGTTTTCCTTCATTTTCGTTTTTGTTCATTTTTGTTTTCCTTCTCTGCCTTGCTGCATTTTCGTTTCTGTTTGTTGTTCTGTTTTAATGGAAGGCTAAAAACCCTTGGGGTTGGTTCCTTAAGCAGATTGCAATATCTATTTGAGGTTTTATTTGTATTTGAATCTGTGTCCTACTTGGTTCTTCTTCATTGAACCTCTGAAACATTTTCGTTTTTGATAGCTGTTCATGCTTAATGAATCAGGTTTCTCACAAGTTGCTTAATCTTGTGGGGAGGTTTAATGTTGTATACGTTTGCTTAATTCGTGTAGGAAAATCTTGAGTTAATCTTCGCTTAGTTGGTTAACTCAGATGGAACAAGGATTAAGTTATGAACAGAGAAATGTTCTGAGAACCAGGGATAAAAGAGTTGCAATCTGAGCAGGGAACCAATCCGTTTTACTTGCTGTTTTATTTCGTTTTATTGTGTCACCAACTGAAAATCCGAAAACAAACCCCCCACTGTGTGTTTAAGCCTTTAACAGTAAAAGACGGTCCTTGGGAGACGACCTAGGAGTCACTTCCTAGTACTACATTTAATTGTATAAATTTGACCGGATACGGCTTCGATCAAAGAGCATCGAGAGAGCTCTTTCCATTTAGAAAACGTTATTGCAATTCTGTAAGATGAAGGCTACCTAGTAAAGCCACTACAAAAAAATTTGGATGTAACGGAGATTAATTTTGAATTTACCCAGGGTTAAAACCCTTGTTAAAGATGTTACCTGTGGTTGTGATTTCCGTAGGCAAACAATCTGTTGGTAACATGTTACAAGCGGTTTTGAGGAAGCCTCATAAATGCAAATGTTTCCAGGAGTTTTATAATCTCGGTTAAATGTTCACGATTTTGTAACTCTCGATAGTTAACGGAGGTTTATGTAAACATTTCCAGGGTTTTAAAACCTTAATTAAATGTCTATGGTTTTGTAACTCTCAGTAGTTAACTGAGGTTTATGTAACCCCCGTTAAATAACAGAGGTCAGTAACATGCCATTGTGCTTACTAGCTTGTAATTTTAACCCCTTATAATTGTTGAGGGTTATAAAACCCCGTTTATGTAAAATTATTAATTTGTGGTCATTTTTAAATCTCATATATTTATTAGAGGTCGTTAAACCATGTTGTTACCATTTAATTACTATTTTTTTTTTTGTAATTTTGACTTATTTCTTAAACCTGTATGTGAAATAAATGTTTCAACTATTATTATTTGCTTAAATTATTTTTTTTTGTGGGAATTATTTACATAAATTATTGTTTATGCATAAACACATACATAAGTTATAAATT